AACTTACCCCAGGGAACAAAATAAAATCAAGACCATCCTCTTGAGGCACAAATATTCCCCACGATTTCAAAATCATATGAGTCAGACTTATTTGTTTTATAATTTAAGACACTTGTGGTTACACTGAGCCGGTATTGGTTATGTTCACAAAGCTCACAGATTCACATAGCGTGTTGTGCAGAAAAGTTCATGATTTTATTAGGTAAAATAAATTTGAAATGATACGACTGACTCATCTTTAACCTCTGAGACATTCATCATACAACGATTTCCCCTTCGTCTACTTGTAGCTGGGTATAAATTCTTTTAGCTTTTCGATGAGTATAAAATAAAATCAGAAAATTTATAACTTTGCAAGCTCTTCTATTACCTTAGGTTGGTTCATTAATTAGTTTCTGCTTAGGCTTCATTCTACTATATCTCTCAACCACTACTTTATATCTTGTTATGACTTCGGTTTCCAAATGGTAAGCGACGAGTTGGGCGTCCGAGGGTGACATGGAGGAGATCGTGTGAGGAAGAAATGAGAGCTTGTGTACAGTTGTAGCAACAGGTTCAAAAGATTGCAAAGAACAGAGTGCACTGGAGACGTGCTACTGAAGCCCTATGTCCCATTAGGAACCCAAGGGATAAATAAATAGTGTAATATAATAATATAATATATAGTATAATAATAATATATAATAATGTGATATTTATCGTAGACTGACATCAGTTGGAGGAACAAAGGAAACCTGGGGCACTGGACAGCTGTTTCGTCACACTAGTATGGGACTCCTTAGCAGTACCCATCCACGACCCCGCCAGAAGTCGAACCCGCGACCTTCAGGTTCCGCGGCCAGCGCGTTGCTATTGAGCCACTGGGTCAGAATCCAATGATCCATATTTCCAACTTCTGTTAGCTCACAATAATAAATATAAGTCAAATAATTATGTTTGACTGAACAACTAAATCCACCAACTAAAGTTAATTAAAGCAGATTGAGTAAATAATAAAAAATAGAATGAAAATAGGCTACGAAAAGATTTTATTCCTTTGTATTTGAACTCTTTGCATACAGAAGAACTAGGTAGTTTGTACAATTTCCTTTAATCATATTTGAGTCACTGAAAGTAGTGTTCCATGTTTATTTATAATTATTCTACTGAAATTATTTCAGTGTTTAACTTTATGCGTACAATTAGGTAAATTTTTTTTTTCTAATTTCCTTTTAGTTCATCCACTAGCTTATTAAATTTATATGATCTTACCTAAGTTATTTCTTAATAGTGTGTCATGTCATAATCTATTCGAAACAGAAAATCACTTTAAGTTAAAGATAAATTTCAGTGAGACTAAAATATTCAAAGATCAACTTTTTGTGGAACTATCTGAGATAGCTATGGTTTATGTAACCGGTGCTATTGGTACATGATAATGTTCAAAGATCAAATGAAAACTCAGGATGGCACAGGGTTCAGAGTAACTGATCTAGTGATTTACAGGCCAAGATATTAAATCCGGCACCGATTTGATAATTCTCAAGTCACTGTTTAATTCCTGTTATGCTCAAAATTCTTATTTCACGTTTAGTTATTACTTGATATTGAAACAGTCTGTTTAAGGTGATCATTATTTAAATAAGCGAATAGAGCTTCGTACTGAGCTGTCTCCCCCCCCCCTCACCGTCCACACATACGCATATGGATTACGCAAGAAATTAGACCGGCATTAATTTATACGGAAAATCAAGCTGACAACTGTTAGAAAATACAATCTGACGGTTTATAGAATTCACTGATTTCATCTGATATTTATCTTATATCATTAGGAAGGGCGCTGGTGGGGAGCACACTGGTAGGACGAAATTGCTCTCCAGTTTTCCCGAGCTTTCATTGCTTCTGTAACTGCTGTCAGTTGATGGTGAATCCCACCTTAGGAAATACTCTTCCAATATACTGTTAGGTAAGAGAGGATCAGGTATGTTGGTAGAAGTTGAGGTTGTCCCTAAAAAATATATAAAACTTAATGAAAATGTTGCAACATATGTTTATTTGTGAAAAATGGAATTGCTTCTAGTCTGTGTCACTTTTTGAATGGCGACAAGAGGGTTGTAAAGTCCATCGATAAAAACAAATGCTCGATTGGAAAATAAATTACTTTCAGCTTCTCAGTAGGAATAAAGTTAAGTGGAAGTAGTGTTCTATTCTAATGGTGAAAAGGTAAGGAGAAAATGGATTTGTCCATTGATTTAATTCGGTATTCGTCACTGAGTCACATCGATTGAAGAGGCAATGGAAACCTGAGAACACTGCATAACTTTTTCATGGTACTACGAGACTCTTCAGTAACGTGCGCTTGTGACCACGGCAGAAATTGGACCCACGACCTCCTGGTTGAGCAGATAGCAAATCAGCATTCAGCTACTGGATCAGAACCCAATGTTCCACACCCTTCCTATCAGTGATATACTGTGTCCTTCATACTATACCGTCAGTAACTATCCATTCTTGCACTCAACTTCGTTTACATCATGATTAACGACTTCTCATTAGAACTTTGGAAAATCCCATCTCGAAGCAGGTTACTGATTAACTATGGATAGTAATTTAATTTAAGGGTTAGTGATGATCTATTGTTTTCACGTTGATATTTTATCACGGACTGACACCAGTTGGAGAACCCTTGCAAATTTAAGCACGCCGGATACCTTGTGGACTGCCTACTTGAACGAAACAGCTATACAGTGCTCCCAGTTTTTCGGTGGTTATATACCTGATGTCAGTTGATGATGAAGGTCCACTTTAATAAATATCTCCGTAAGACTCCATATTAGATCTTTTTTTAATTTTACGCTATTCTTGTTTTTACAATTAATATTATTGCCTTATGATTGATAATAAACCGGTTTTTGATGCACCTTGATAAAACTCCGGAAATCATATTTTATTAATTCATTTCTCTAATACTTTCTCAATTTCAACTTAATGTTCATAGTCATAGACCGACATCAGTTGAAGGGACATTGGAAACTTGGAAGCACTGAACAGCTGTTTCATTCTCAAACAGAACTTCTCAGCAATGCCCACCCATGACCCTGTACTCCAGAGATTGTTCCGAGGACCTTCAGGTTCCATAGCTAGCACGTTATCACTGACCCACTGCGTTGGAATCCAATGGTCTATGTTTCCAACTTGTATCATCTCACAGCACAGCGCTACCATCACCACTGTCATAGTTGAGTATCTTTCCTCAGGCCCACCATGTTAATCTCACCGGTCCCAGATTTCCAATGTTTCTCCAACTGATATCAGTCTATGGTGAATACTAACTTGATATCGATAAATCCCCACAAATCCCCAAATTCAATGTTCTCAATTCTCTGTTGATTTTTTTTTATTCTGGCAAGTAATCATAATTTGTTTCAATATGCATTTAAGTAGCACAACGTCAACTACTGTATCATATTTTATATCTGCTATAGTTGTATGTTTTAGATAGTAAAACTAGAAAGTCAACGATGATACCGTTGAGTGCATAGTTCTTAGGCAAAAAAGTTGGATCATCCAGTAATGCTTTGAACCTGATCTAATTAAAACGTCTTGAAGATATGTCATGCAGTCAAAATCACCCACCACCTAATATTTATTTTAACCCTTCGTTTTCGGTTACTGCAGCTGAAACTAAATGACAACTCGTCTAAGTGCAGAGTTTCCTATCTCAATGTCTTCCATTTCTGTTGATTTCTTTCAACCTCTGATTGAGTAGTATAAGGAAAACTTTGACAGTCAATATTCAAATAGTTTCATCCTCACAACTAATAATCATTAGTGTCTACAGACACATTGATATGCTTAAAGAACACTGATATTGTAAATCATGTTGAGTTAATAAATATGGATGCCATTCAGGGGATATTTGTATACATGACCACCTAAAAGTAGTACCAAACATTAGGCGGTGGTATGCGATCTTGTGGAAACCCTGGGCTTAAGTTTCATGCTTTTTGACACTCGACAACAAGGTACACAACTCATTCCAATCTACTCTTATCTGAAAAAGTTTAAAGGAAGAAAGTTAACGAATAGAAGTAATTGTCAACCACTAAAAAACTATGGAAGTATTTCCAACTATAGTAGACATGTTACTGAACATAACACCTACTATTTTCGCTTCAAATTCGGACAGCAGCCAATTTCATATCCTCCAGTCCCTGTCGATGACTACATCTTATCAATCGTTTTGCATTGCGGCCTCCAAGGTAGATCACTCAACAGAATGGTTCACTTTAATGAAATTTACTTGGTTGCGGATAACATACAGGAAACCCTGAGCATAAGTTTCACGCTTCTTAGCTACATTCAATAATGATGGATTGAATTCGGTCAACAGTCAGAACTAGACAAAGTGAAAGGGGTTGCTCTCTAGTGACAAATCAGTGTATGTAATCCACTCTTGAAGCCGGTCAGTCGTATCCCGAATAGGTCAATGGTGACTTCTCTAGCTGCAGTACTGGATGACGTGGCTTCGAATCTCACAAGAGGCATCATTTTTCTCGAGGTCGTAAATGCACCTTGCTGATGACAGCCACCAAGAACAAGGAGAGATACGCCCATTATTTATTGTCTGCAAGTTTGACATTTTTAGTTCAGAAATCCAAATGATACACGGCTGATATTAACTGACATGATGAAAATAATGATCAACTCTTACGGTCGTACGATAATACATTTTATACAAGCCAGATGGAAAGTTACCAATCAGTACATCGACTGTGGTGTTCTTTCCTTCAAGGTTGACAGCTGTTACAAGTATCTTTTTTCTGAAACGGCTGCAGCTGGATCCAAGCTGAAATATTGATTACGTAGAAACTTGGAATCAATGACTCCGCTTCTCAGAATGAAACTTTGTTTGATATCAGCGTCTGACATTGCTTATTTTAACCCATTAGCTTGCCTGCTAATCTTATTTCTCTGAGGTTGTAATGATATTTTCTACAATCTAAAAAATATTTTCATAGGAATCAGGTATTGTACGACTCAATTATAATATGGGTGGAGGTGTCGTTCATATAAGTGGGCCTAATTTTCCAATTGATGATGGATTTTATCATCGGATTCGAGGTTATCGAGTGGATCATCAAGTTATACTTGAAGTGGATGATACACGGCATACCTATGAATTAAATAGTAAGTGTAATTTTGTACAATTTTTAAGTTACTAACTTCACTGTTGAGGAAAAATGCACCGGCTATGAAATAAGAGCACAGTCAGTGACAGAACATTCCTCTACGACTACCATAGCCACAACGACCAATTATTCAACTATTTAAGTGTAGTATCCTCTTTGATAGCTTGCGATTGACTGATACTACTTATTGTTGATTTTCATCAATGAAATATTTACCCTTTATTTGTAAATTATCACTGTTTAACGCACTTTGAGTGAGGAGTAGACAACCAAGTTTTCTAGAAATCTGAATCTCTTGAGTTTAAACTCTGGCTGGACCATGGAGTCCTATACTAAAACGAAACAACTGTATAGTACTCTCAGGTTTTCAGTGGTTCTCAAACTGATATCAGATTGTGACGACAGCTACCTTGAAAAAAAACATAGTAGACCTCAAACCAAATTTAGTTTCTCATTGAAAAACATTCATAGTGATGAGTGAAACAGAAATGACTGATTATCATTGGACTGTCTAAGATCGCCGTAGTTTGGTATGCCGCTATTTATTCTAGGTAATGATTGAAGGTGAAATGAAAATTTCAACCACGGTCGGGTACGAACCAGCGACTACCGGGTCTCAAGCCCGGTGCTCTACCAACTGAGCTACGAAGTCCGGATGCTCACCAGATTTTTTACCTTATTTCAATTAGCAAAAGTTTTGCTCAACTACCATGTAAATTCATGATGCTTTACTGCCGCTTGATCTTACACTGGTTGACTAGATAGGACTTCTCAAACGAATCCAGACTTAACTGATTTAAAGAGTGAAAGAGCATCATATTGATTATCGCCAATTCATACGGTAGTCGGGCAAAAGCCATGGTGACTGAAGTAAAGTGAAAAATCGGGTCATTACACAAACCTCGTAGCTCAGTTGGTATAGCATCGGGCTGGGAACTAGTTGGTCACTACTTCAACTCTGACTGTGGTCTAAATTCTCATTTCATCTTCAGTCATCACCCAATAGAAATGATTGATGTTGGGGGATGTCACAGTATTTAAATTACCAAGTTATAAGTGTCACAAAACAGATTCCTTTAATTTGATTAGTGGTTAATACTGATTTCATAGTTTACTAGTCAACAATGATGCGGAGGAAAGAACTAAAAGTGTATGTGTAACGAAAGAGTCAGTGTAGAGTTGACACTTCTGAAAGTAGATCATCCGACTTGACTCATGAGTGAACCTTATGGTAGAAAAACAAAATACGACATCAAATATGGTATTCTTATTCGTCTACATTCAAAATAGTTCAAGGAATATTTTTCAATTCTTCTAATTTGTCAGGTGATATCATTTTTTTGTCTTAGAAAGATATTTTTACTTCTAGAAAACATCTGCGTTAGAACTGACACAATTATCGTGAAGTACATTCGTTCTTCGTTTGCTTTCTTCTGTTTACAATAACATGCATTGTTAGGACAAGTTAGATTAGGTTGAAAGAAAACTCAGGTTGGCAATTCTAAAACATAGCATCAGTGCATGAAGGTCCTGACTATTGGCATCAGTCGAGTAAGGAGGTGAAGACTACCTAACTGGAGTTTCTGAGACTATAGGAATCCTTGACTGAAGACTTTTCATGGGACGACTGAACGTCAGTCACAATGGCGCAGATATATTCGCTGCTTCACATCGTCTAACACTTGAATTTTTGCACTGACTTTATCATGAAACTACTTATTCTGTCACATAACGTTTCTACCTTGATATCAGTCTTTTTATCCACTTCTTATTTTTATACTACTGTAAAGTGTAGCAACTTCAACCAACTCACTTGTATGTGAGTTCCTACCTTGATTTTAACTGTCTTTCTACTTCTTGTTGTTTCCTGTATAATGAATAAAACTTGGAAATATATTTCCTATCCTTCTGTTTCATCCATAACTTTATATAAGTAAGTTTTAACAGAATCCCAAGGAGTTTAGAAAATCAAAAATAAGGTTTTTCTGATCGTTTCACTGTGTATGCCACAGCTCTTCAGCAAAACATTCGAATTTTTATTCTTCATGTATATTATCAAATGGTACATACATAAATTCTTGTATTTATGCCAGTAGTTAGCTAATTTGTTGTTCAGACTGGTTGTTTCTAACTAGTCATAGTAAATTCCAGAAGACTTTGTCATCTGTCATCAAAAACAATTCAAGTTGTTATTCATCGAAGACTGACATCAGTTGGAGGAACAAAGGAAACCTGGGAGCACTGGACAGCTGTTTCGTCCTAGTATGGGACTCCTCAGCAGTGCGCACCCACGACCCCACCAGCAGGGATCGAACCCGCGACCTTCAGGTTCCGCGACCAGCGCGTTACCATTGAGCCACTGGGTCAGAATCCAATGCTCCATATTTCCAACTTCTGTTAGCTCACGATATAGCGCGAACCGCCACCGCTGGCCGCGGAACCTGAAGGTCGCGGGTTCGATCCCTGCTGGTGGGGTCGTGGGTGCGCACTGCTGAGGAGTCCCATACTAGGATGAAACAGCTGTCCAGTGCTCCCAGGTTTCCTTTGTTCCTCCAACTGATGTCAGTCTTCGATGAATAACAACTTGAAATATTTCCAAATCTCCACAACCCCCTCAAAAATTTAAAAACAATTCAATAATCTGCATGTATGTATATGTGCAAATGTTAAAAAAATGCTGAGTTTATATTAAAACTTATATAATGAATGATTAGATCTGACTAGGTATTCAAATTCTTTCAAGACTTTCGTAACATATATAAGTTTGTCTAAAATTGTGTTCGGATTGACACCGGTCACTTTTCTTACTGTTGTTTCTTCACTGTTCATGTAAGTAACACGCATTCACTTCGGAGTATATACTGCTTGCAAAGCTGATAATTATTATGATTACAAGTTAATTCAGTAGTAAATGAAAACAGGGAATGGATGACCAAAGCATAACTTCAATACATCAAACAAAATTAACCTTTAGCTCATATCGCTATGTGTCTTCTAAACACAGCTTCATTTCGACATCAGTAGACAAACCTATTTTCAAAACAGACAACAAATCGACTCTTTAATACTTAAATTGTGAATATCAATAATAGGTACCAGGTAGCAGTGGAATCTAAGATACGTGTTTTGTTTCGTTAGCTGGATGTAACTACATTCAACTGCTTGATGTTTTTCTAAGATTCGAACCTATAATTGGTCACTACAAACACCAGAGTCTTATCTACTAGGTCACTGGGTCACAATAGGTACTCTTGGATTCCACTGGTAATCATTTTCCATCAGTAATACTAAAGGTGAGAATGTCGGCAGTATTAAGGAAACTGCACACTAATTCATATGTAAACGTTGGCCGGTCAGTTAGGTACAGTCATCGAGAGGAGACCTACAAACTATAAAATCATAACTCAAATTAGTTGAGTAAAGTACCATAACATTTGATTAATTTTCGTAAACATCATGTATAACATTCTTATATCAGACTATCATCACCCAAGTTAGTCCCATAACGCAATAAGTGAATGCAACATTTACGGATCGAAATCCCTGTGAATATGGATTTCAACGACGTCAGAAATTTATATGATAAACTAGCTTCCTTTAGACTTTTGATGGTTATTATTTCATGAGAATATTCAGGAGTCAACTGCGAAATGCATAAATCATTTTGAATATTTGAGATAGTCGTGATTTGCAGACTAAAATTGTTACTGAGTGATGATTGAAGGTAAAATGAAAATTTGAATCGTGGCTGAATTCGAACCAGCTACCAACGGGCTACCGACCCGTTGCTCTATCAACTGAACTACGATGTTTGACTGCTGGACAGATTTTTACTTCACCTCATAGCTCAGTTGGTAGTGCATCCGGATGGAAACTTGGGTGGTCACTGGTTCGAATCCGATGGCGGTCCAAATTTTTATTTCACTTTCAATCACCACCTAATATAAACATTAGTCAACCGAAGCACACCTATTTCAGACAGTCAGAGCGATAATCAAGATGGTGTTCCCTCTCTCTAATTCAGTCATATTTCGATTCAGACGAGAAGTCCTGACTACGCAGCCAGTGGGAGTATATGAACAAGTGGTAGTAAAGCGTCACGAATTCACTTGGTAGTCGGACAAAATCAATGGTGATTAAAGTGAAATGAAAAAATCTGGTCATCATTCGAACCTCATAGATCAGTTAGTAGATAATCGGGTCGGAAACCCAGTAGTCGCTGGTTCGAACCCAACCACGGTTCACGTTTTTTCATTTCATCTTCAATCATGACCCAGTAAAAACACATAACTGGCATCTGTTTGTAAATGATAATGACTTTCTTTTGAAATTAGTGCTTTTTTGGAGAACAGACTAGTCAATAAAATGGCGATGAACAAAGTTATTTTAGTGAATTGTTTCCTTCCTAGTTCTATTGTTCAACCGACAATCTTTGGTCTTCGTTCTAGATAAACATATCAGCTTTAACTTGAATGCGAAGCTTTTGAGATTAGGTCATACAACTCAAACAGCACATCACCACCAAAAACATGCTGGAAATGATAGTATGTTTTTTTTTGAAAAGTTCCTTTAAGGTCTTTGTGTTGTGAGAGCACAACTTTTGAGTAGGGTTTGTCTAAGTTTGTTGATGTAAATTTTAGTCCATTAGGAAGTGTTCTGCATTTCTTATGTGGTGGTCTTTATGCATGACTATTGAGATGCTCGCCTCGTAAGTTGGAACTATATCCACATTCTTTTTATTCTCGAGTTTCTCGTAAGCTCTATGTTACTCATTTGCTAGTGTTTAATCAGTTGGTTTTCAATATAATTCAATTCCTAACTTTCCTAAATTCATTCTAGTGGTCAGGATATCTAAAAATGCAAGTTTGTTGTTTAATTTTTCTTCATTTTGGAATTTGATATCATCTAAAACGTTGTTGAATAATATACACCATCAGAAAGATTACGCCCTTGTTCTCTGTTTACTCTGAATAGAATAAATATACATAGACAATTAAGAACGCAGGCTAATTTGATTATTATGGTTTATATATTGAGTTAAATAGCCACTCTTCTAACCAATTAAACAACCGGTTAAAAATCTTATGATAAACTACCTTTCCAGTCAAGATGAAAGAAACCCAATTAATTATTTCAATGTTTACCAGGATAACTTTTAGAGTTATTCTGCTTTGTATGTTGAAATATATCTTAAAAATTATTTTTATATACATGTAGGTGCATATGGCAAACAATTCAACAATCAAAAAGTTATTTGGCTTGGACATGCACCTGAATTGAATAGAACCGACTTTTTTCGAGGTTACATGACAGGTAATGTGTTGCTTATTTATATAACATACTAGTGATAAGAAGTATGTAGTTTGATTGTCAATTTTAGAAGTTTCTATTACTGAAAACAGAGAGTTAATAAATTATTTTATGTCTAACGGATAAAGTTCAAAGGCATTGAGAAGAGAAAATTCAGTGAAGAAAATTTTCTTTTTCGACGATATCATTTTCTAAAGCTGTACAATCATATATATATATATATATATATATATATATATATATATATATATATATATATCATAGACAAATAACAGTCTATTATAAAGCAATAGAGTATAATTACACCAATAACTTAGTGCTAAAAAACCGGAATCACGAATGTAAAGTAGTTGTGTAATAAACTAAGATAGTAGAAATATCGAAGAAGGCAAGGAGTTTGACAAGGTGAAAATTGTTGGTAGATAAGAAACGCAAATATTGAGTGTCGACTTGATAGATAGGTGTAAAGAAGATGAAGAATGAGACAAGGATCATAATGAAAGTGATAATATTAATAGTAAACTAATTAATAATAATGAAATCAAAAAATCAAAGTGTTAAGACCATGGTAACATGAAAGATTGAACATACTTTTTTTGAAAGCACAGATCAGGCTTGAATTGAATTGCCAATGCTTCCGCTGTGCACAACTGTCAAAGGCGTACTCCTTTTAAATTATTCCATCTGACACGATTGTACAGCTTTAGAAAATGATATCGTCGAAAAAAGAAAATTTTCTTTGCTGAATTATCTCTTCTCTATGACTCAATGGGCATGTTTCGTAGTCTACGAAGGTACTATAAACTGAATGAATTTACAAGTACTCGACTTTCATATTAACAATGACCTGACTGTTAGCACTTTTATTTGTAGGTTCAAAAGACGTTGTTTGCTTACGGTTTAAAAGAGTGGAGTAAAATAACTGCTCAGAACAATGGTGAAATATATAAAGAGTTAGATGCAGTTGTCCCTCAACCATTTTTCTTACTGTACTGAATGACATCAGAGGGAGGACCACTGAGAACCTTGACGCAGTGAAAGTATGTTTCGTCCTTCAACATTGGACAGCTACGGAAGCAATGGGAGTTAGACATAAGACAGTCAGCCTTTACAGAAAGTATGTTGTCACTCAGCCATCGGGTCCAGTTTGCGATATGCCACTACCTTCATCCAATACTATAGTTCAATCAATAAACTCAAAATGTTAAACCTCTCAGGTCAAGGCTTATCACTATAGCTTCGAAACAAATAACCTATGTTTCAAGGTTTTCAGTGATTTTTCTAGTGATACAAGTCCACGGTGGATCATATCTTAGAACTAACCAACTATTACAAACCTCCAAACTCAAGGAATCAGCTTTATTCACTGAATCGTGTGTAATATTTATGTCTGAAAAAATGAAAAACAGATACTGGTCAGGATGAAAGTGATATTACTATTCGTTATATTGATGAAACAACTGAAGAGAAAATCATAGCTAAAGCCTTCTAATAGTCCTTAAAGTATAGTTTATTAAAGACAAAATATTAGACAGAACTCCTGTTTCTCATAGTTAAAAAAATAAAACACTCCTACTAACATGCATTGCCGTTGAAGTTTCGTTAGATCCAGTCCTCAGTTGGCAAACATTTGACTGTTATTACAGACTTCATCAGCATATCACAAGGAAGTTCATGGAGACTTATAATGTGATTCTTTTCCTTAGTGAACGCGACTGTTCACATTGGTGAGTGTGAGGACATATGTTTAACCTGATACATTGACTTCCTACTCCTATTTTCCTTAAATGGGTGTGCAAATATGTGACTGACTGATTCTTACTGCTTTCTTACAGTAATCTGAGATCAGTTCGTTATAATTAGCTGGTACCTTTTGCTTATATGAGTTGATGATAGTTATATTGATCTGAAAACTTCATCTTTTTGTACGAACTAGTAGCCAACCATGTTACACTCAAAAAAAGTAGATCTTTATAAATATCCATCCATAACTAATTATTTCACTTCCTTGTGAAGCTCTGATACACTGATGGTAATGTGGAGTATAACACTGAAGATTTTACCAACTAAAACTGGCTGTAACTTGTATCAGGTTGTGAAGGTTCATCTGCCACTACTTTCTTCGGAATCTTGAAAACCATATATTTCTTAGTTTGTATTCTTAATTTTATCTAATATTTTTCTGTCGTTCTTTTGTGGGCTTTAGTTTCATCATGTATATTCTCTAATTCATCCCTGTTTTGATTCCATTTCACTGAAACTACGTAAAATACATTAGTCTAAACGATTTATAACTCTGATATATTTTGAGCTTTTAAGTGTTTCTCTCTTTCTATTCCGTTTGACAGGTGTCTACTACAATGGTTTACTCCTGAATGACTTAGCCGCGGGTTTGTTGTATTTACCTTACATTCATGTGACACGTTTCGCTAACGTTAAGTATGTGCCTAAATTCCAACCAAATCTGGGTAAACTTAATTTTTTCAAGGAGTAAGTTTACATTATTGAAATTCATGATTACGAATGAGTTATATTTCTGATTACAAAAGATAGACCTACAACATTATGCATGTTTCACCATTAGGAAAGTCAACTTGTGTTCTTTGACTATCTCTGATAGTTACCATGATGTAAACATATTTACAACTTGTTTGATATTTGTAATCTCCCATTGGTATACACGGCCGAATTGCTTGACTTCAAAACAAATGTTATGTATTTGCACTATGCATTTCGAATAGTCTGATCATATATTTATTTTAGAAGCAGTATTCCTCATGGACAAGAGTTGGAAATTGTGAACCGCTGGAAACCGACCCAGTGGCTGAATGGTTAATACGTTCGCCATGAAACCTGAAAGTCCCGAGTTCGATCCCTAGCCGGGTCGTGGGTGCGTACTGCTGAGGAGTCCTATGCTGGGACGAAACAGATGTCCAGTGCTCCCAGATTTCCAGTGGTTCCCCAATTATTGTCAGTCCATGATGAATGCTACTTCTAAATTAAAAAAATCCCCATTCATCTCAAAAATACATTACATATTTAATTGCTAATGCATTATATATGAAAATTGGAAGTGAGGGAAGGAAAAATATGACATAAAGGAATTCAATAATAAGAAAGATAATGAAAGGAAAAAAGATAAGATTTAAAGACAGCCTTGGTAATACAATAAAATAAGCCTTACCAAGGTAGGCTTAGCGTAAGGACAAACTGTTTTTGCGCACATAATGGAAAGTTAAATTTATTTATGTCTAGTGCCTCAATAAACTTGAGTATACGCTGCTGACAGTTTTTATACAAAATTGTAAAGGCTGCATTAGTATCTATCCTGTGACGCTTATCACTGATGTGTTTTACAATCCTTTTTTCCTTTCATTATCTTTTTTCTGATTGAATTCCTTTATGTTATATTTGTCCTTCCTCCACTTTCAGTCTTCATATATAATGCCTTAACCAGTAAATGTGTGATCAGATTGTTCAGAATGTATAGCGCAAGTATATCACATTTTTTAGATACTCAGCGTCTTCTAATCACATTGTCCAAACTATATAAAGTATTTTTATTACAAGGAAGTCACACTGAACGATCACTCAAGACACAAATGTACAACTCTTCTACATAATTCATCTCCACATTTCACGTCTTTGATGTACATGATTAAAAAGAGAATAAATCCACTTCGTTGGCCTTTCTACTACGAAAACGTTTTGTACAGAAAAACTGTCAGTGAGTTTCACAAGAATGAATTCACTTTAATCAGTATGCAGATAGAGTGAAAACAGATGAGTATACCTTGCGTCATTCACTATACCATTATGTAGATGAGGAATTCATGCAAAAGTCTCCCTTTAAAAAATATCAAGCTATTTCTCGACAAGTTCCCTTTCAATATCACAAGTTTTATACTCGCAACCGTAGAATAATACCACCAATGTGTAAACATGGCAAACAAGAAACTAAGAAATAAAAATTGAACTCATTGTTCATTAAAAGGCTAGATAGACACAATCATCAGGAAGTGGTGAGTGTAGTTATCAGGCTTTTTAGTGCACATGCAGTGAATTCATGAGAATTCTTCATAAACCATTTCGTCGCGGATACCCCAACTCAGGGACGATAAATGTCAACCATATTCGCAAATTTTCGCTCCAGGACTGATTTTCAACGGTACTCCGACTAACAATAAAGAGTGAAGTGGCTGAGTGTGCTGAATACTTATCTGATGAATTCGGATCAGCCCTGGTGGCCCAATGGCCGACAAAATCTGTGCATGGTTACAAAAAGCCCAGTTGATTCATGCCAAACTACGCCATCTATAGCGCTGCCGTGATATCCGATAGCCTATTAAGGGTAGAATGTACTGTACTGCAGTCCACTCTCTTCTACTGCATGGCTGTGAAACATAGGCATTAAATTTAGAAGACGTCAGAAAGCTTCAGGTTTTTGAACACCATTGGCTACGTAGCAAAGGCTGTTTCGTGGCGTCACAACATCACTAATACAGAAGTCAGACCTTAGGTTTTAGGCAGGAGAGGTAAGATAGTTGATGCGGTTGCGAACCTTTATCAAACAAGTTGACTGGGACATGTGTTACGTATGCCTAGCCACTGTCTGCTTCGTCAAAAAATATTTGCTGAAATAGGTTTGAGATGGAAGAACGCTCATAGAAGCCAGACTAGAACATGTCATCAATGCATGAAGTCTTCGACTTTTCGTTTGAGTACTGTAGGATGATGAAGACTAGGCGGTTGGGGCACGCAGGACAAAAGAAACCTGAGGCTAAAGATCCTGATAACCGATGTCAGTGGCCAAGATGCATACATACAATATCCTCATCTTGATCACTATACTCAAACACATCACCTACTCACTCCTCCCCCCTCTCTTCTACCGTCTTCTGCTCCTTTAGGCCGACTTCTCCTTCCTTCTTCATCTCCTATTTTATTGCCTCGTCACTTGATGTGCTGATATGAGGTAAGATAACTTGGACCGTTACGCAGTAATGCCTGATCCTATGTTGATCTTGATGATGACGACCAATAACAAAATATGATTAAAAATCAATGTTGTTTGCACCCGACAGCAGACACCTGGTAACTGGGCATCTCACAAACTAACAATTCCGATATAGTCATATTGATGTCACTGATGGTTAATCAGACAGCCTAAATGTGCCGATATACTTTAGTAAATGTCTAAGTTGGTACAGCGTTCACGTTTAGTGTGCCAATACAATCAGTAGAATGAATGGTGTCATCATCATCTATCAACATAAGACCAGGCATTACTGATTAACTGTCTGAGTTGCCACAACTCACACCAGTACATGAAGTAAAAAGGCAGTGAAGCAGAAGATGAAGATAAGAAAGTTCAGTCAAAAGAAATATAAAATAGGAAAAGAGAGAAAGGAAGAATGGGAAAATGGTAAGATTCAGCATAGTGTCGTTAAGATGAGGATAATGTGTGCATACGTCTCCGCCATTGACGTTGGCTCTGAGCCATATCACCTAGAATCAGTCTTTAACCACTGGTTTCGCTTCTCCTGTGGACCACAACTGGCTAGTCTGCATAGCCCAAAGTGGCCAAACCCCCATTTCAAATGACTCCATTCATTGATACCACGGTTTAGACTGGCCACCTCGGGACTATTTCCAGCCTGAACTTACTTCCGCCAACATTATGTGACGAGGAGAATGAGTATTAACATTAGTTCTGACCTTAGGGAGGTAGTTTCATTCATTCGATCTGGGTTATTAAATTAATACTGTTTGTATCATATGTCATACGAAGTTCGAAGCATTCAGATACATTAATCCGATCGTAGGACTTCTCTATAAAGCTAAGAAGGCTGAACACACTGGAAAGATATTTGGGCGGTACTTTCAGAATCCCAGGCGAATGGGACAATGAATTTGATTCTCGGCTATAACTGTGCTAAAACACCGGTTCATGTTTTAGATAGCGAGATATTTTGAACTTGAAGAGGGTGATGATTCATCTCAGCTAAACACTTGACCCAGACAGACCATAAAAATATCAGCTGTCACTTAAAAGCGTCGACAGAGTGTTGCCTGTCTTGGCATAGGCGTTTGGACAGTATCCATATATCCGCTTGAATATATATGCACATATTTACACATGTTCAAACATGAAAAAGGCGGAAGTGGAAGATTTCTTCAAGCTCAACTCTATGATAACTAAACTAAAGCTGTGAATAATCTGAAACAAGTTCAACAATTAAAAGGACATGATATTATCATTCATTTTACGGAAACCTCATGCAGTTTCAGGTTATCTTGAAAAAACACTGGTGAAGACCGTGAACAACGATAGTATTAAGGGTATTCATGGATCAGTAGGAACCATCATCCATATAATTGGGTACAAGTGATCGAATTCTTGGATTAGTTGAGAGCAATCAAGAGTGCTGGTAACTAGAATTGTCTCCTCCTGAATCATGAATGTTTGTGTATGTCCCTACTTCAAGAGATGAAGAAGAAGTGGGATACCTTTGTTAAGAATAATTAAGGTAACCGAGGTAAAAACGCTAGTGGTTAAATAAAAATGTATCACATAAACGTAAAGCAGTGATAAGATTTCAGGAATAATAAGTGAAATGATAGTGCTGAGGAACATGCCACTAAATATTAGGTGGTTTGAGTAGGCTTCAGTCACTCGACTACGGTCTCCTTCATAGTGAATTCTTAAAAGTGGAATTTTATAATAATGAAGTGATTCTGCTGTTGATGTTATTAAGTGTCAACGACTGAGGGACTGGATTTATTATCTGTCCCGTGGCAAATCTTGCCTCAGTGACTCATGTTATTTAAGGGAAGGGCTAAACTGGATTAAACCTAGAGAATATAACAGGTCAGAAAGCCTTTGACTGGTGATCCAAGAGATGTAGAATAATGTAGACTCTTTTATTGGGGTTTATGGGACAATTTACTTTGACGACTGAGAAATCTAGTGGGTTCGACTAGAGATAAATCCCAGTTGTACGAGTGTTTTCATGATCTGTCTTCAATCTGGCCATTTTACCACATAAATTTATTTGATTTAACCCGTATCCTTCTCGGATGGCATTTCCTTCTTAAGGATCCTACGTAAACATTTCTGATGTATCTTTTTATACAGTGACACAATAGAGGCTTTGAACTGCTTTCTACTGGTATTGTTGTTATTATTCGTACTAGTGTTACTATTACGCATATAAAGTTAACATTCATTTGAAAACTTATGAATTTTTTTTTCACTTTTCAGTTCATCTTTCTCTACATGGCAAATACATGACACTTCAGGCTCAGATAACTATTCAAATGATAGTGGGTTGCACTATGTGAATCGTGATGAACCTATCACCATCAATAGGATCACTACAGACATTCCTAAAGACCCATTGTTATTTTCATCTAACTTCAATTCATCTTATTTATCACAATTATCAGATCACTTGTATCTTAAGAATGGAATATTAACTCAGTCTATTAGTCCAAATCATAATCGGTCACATTTGGCTAACTTACAGTTTAATGACTGGAAAGCGGGAAAAGCAATACTTAGTGTACATAAACAAGTAAACATTTGGTTATTAATATGTTTAGCTGGTGCTTGTTTAGTAATGATTATCTCATTGACATTTCTAGCCTACAAATGTCATCATAATAAAAATGTATACTCTCATTCTACTGAAATTGTTGAACTCAAACCAAACACTGAACAAATTCATTTATCTCATAGTTCACTCAATAAGAAAGTTCATTCAATCGGTTCATTATTAGGCATAGATGATATACAATATAATACACTTTCTACATATAGTAAACAACACAATGAACCATCATCATGCCTAATGACATACTCATCTCATTTAAACAATAATCAGATATCGATTTGTGAAAAAGAATCCCCTATACTGAATACCATAGCCACTTCTTTTATTCTTGTAACTGAACCAATAAATTTAACAACTACAGCAAAAGCTGAACTAAATAATTATAATTTAGAGAGATACTCTATACCTGTAAATCATGCATTCCATGTAGACATTTGTAGGAATACATCACAAGATTCAATACAATTCAATACGGATAAGTATGCTAATATAACTCAATATAACACAAGTTTCAATCAATTATTCGAATTAAATGACACTGAAAAAGTTGAATATTCAAAACAAAATGTTATATACAATATTGTTAGTGGATTGAACACTGAACCAATTACCACATTTCCATCAGTAGAAACTAATCAAATAGTTCAGTTCTCTGATGTTAACCATTGTATTCAATAATGAAACTGATAATCATAACCATCCATAAAGCATCAAAATCGAATCAAAAGGATATTTTGTATGTATTAGATAATAATAATCATTTTGTTTGAAACAATTTTTTGATAAAAATGTTTCGAATTTTCATTACGTAATGTCGTAATAGAATATAATTTATTTCAACTGTTCTATATAGTACTAATTATAACAATAATATTAATAACACGGAAAATTATACATAAATAGCTAAAATATTGGAAAAACTGACTGACGCGTTTTCTATTACATAAGATGAATGTTTCATAGGGTGAAGTTGCACTCTTATACATGACTGTATGAGCATACATACTGATATAATGTTTTCTTCGCCCACGCTGAGAATATAAAAGAAGAGAGCTGAGAATATAGTGGACGACTGGTTACCTGTTTGAATTAAAATGTTTGCTACCTATAATTTTCATAGTTTGGGTTAGAAATACAACACCTACCCCTACTGACAGCTTTTGAAGAACAATTCAATGTAACATATTCCTACTTTAGTAGACCAAGAAAGTCTAATGGAGAACAATAAAGAAGAAGAGATGAAATACAGGAATTAGCAAGTTGCAAAAATAGAGGCTGAGCTATACCAGACACCCTCAGTTTTCTTATGTAATACGTTAAATCAAAGACTTTTTTGAAACCCAACAACATATAAGACGATCAACAAAGAATAGAAGAAAAACTTATTACAGTAACCGTCATATCACCAGCATATTTGACGAAATTAATCTCATTAAAATAAGGTAAGTCATGAGAAAAGAAAGAAAACAAAAGTAGAGAAAGTACTTTACCTTGTGGCATACTGCCTTAATTTCTGGAATATATAGAAAATATGAAATGCTAAGTTGAACTATTATTTACAGGCAAAGTTTCATTTCCTTGAAAATCAGATAAACATCATGCAAATCGTTGTAGATGGCCTATTTCTACTCTCAAATAATCACTATCTAACAGTTTCGCCTGTAATAATAATAATATATGCAATGAAAGCATCAGTCCTGATATCATTTATTCCTCGCCTGGTTAACTAGTTCACCACTGAAGTGACGACAGGAAAAAGACAAGGCTGCCTACTGTCACCTATGATCTTCTTGATCGTGGTGGACTGGATCATGCAGCAAACCGTGAGGAGCGAGAAGATGAGCATGCACCGGCTGGATCGATGAAAAGACCCCACAAGAAGATATAGATTTCGCTGATAAAGATTCACGTCTAATGTCTCATCGCACAAAATCGAAGATCCACAGGCAATAACCAACAAGTTAGCAGAACAGGCGACCCAGCGAGAACGGAACTTCAGTTGAACGTAGAGAAGATACCCAACCAACAACAGCATCAGCAACAAGCACTAATCACCTTGAACGGGTCAAAACTCAAGGAAGCAGTCTCTTTCAGCTACCTAGGCAAGGCAGCATCTTTTCAACTACAGGCGGTGACAGCACAGACGAGGATGTGAAAACCAGGATCGGAAAAACGGCATGACAGGTCTCCCTGCAGTCATCTGAAATCACTGTGGAGATCTACTTCACTCAGCATAAAGTGTGAACAAGATAGGGATTTTCAACACTGGTATCAATCATGTCACTGCTGCTATATGTTCAAAAACCTGGTTTGTCACGAAAAACATTTCAAAAAACTACGGACAAATCACATCAACAGCTGCCTACACTCGTCGCTGAAGACAAGATGGGCAGAATAGTTAGAATAAGCAACAAGGAACTCTGGCTGGCTGGTAACGAACCAACCAAGAACCCACCACCCAACAAATATGCAGAAGGAAGTAGAGATGGATTGGGCATACACTGAGAAGACCGACTGGGGACATCACGCGCCAGGCCTTCGAGTGGAATGCAAAAGAAAAACCACGAGTTGAGCTTTCGAGGTGAGGGTGACCTGGAGGACATCATGTGAGGAAGGAATGAAAGCTTATATGCAGTCGTGGCGCCACGTTGAAAGGACTGAAGAGAAGAGGCTAGTGAGGCTGTATTTTTTATGAGGAACCCAAGGGAAAAATAATAATAATAAGCATTTCAGCCTCCAAATTCAGTAGCATACAGTCAGTAGAGAAAATTTTGTCTTCTCTCAGATGACACTTTGGACTAGGAACTTCAAATTATCTATGATCTACTCAATTGTAATGGATATCCAGAAAAGCTTCCATCTAAAAATATGGTCACATCTAATATGAAAACCACAGTACCAACAATTTCCAAGAAACCATCGTTCATAAGACGAGAATTTCGATGTGACGTCATCAGCAAAATTGTGATACAGCGTTTAAGAAATGCCATGAGAAGATCATTTATTCCAGCGAAGTTGTGCTGTATATTCTACAGTCGACCGATGATGACTGCCTGACTTCACCTCATCTATGTGCATTTGCCAGTTCAAATACTGCTGTAGACATTGGACATATAGTTGGACATATAGTTAGGTGAGTCCGTCACCAAATTGCTGGACATCATCCATCATGGTTAAACAAAAGGCAAATCAGATCGATCCGAAGCTTAATACTCTACCATCTGGTTGGCATTGGTCACCAACTTAATATTCATAATCCCTTTAAAGATATTTATCATATTCCTCTTAAACTCACCCGTGGTCTACGAGTTTATCTTTCACATACAGCATAAGCCATCGGAATCCGCCTGAACAAGCCAGGTTTGTGTATTCAGAAGAAATTCATACAGTCTCTTTCTTTGCTAAAGGCATTGGTATAACTTATCTACTAAAACAAGTCCATTCCTTTCTTTCATTCATCCCACAAATGATTATAACTTATTTTAATATTCCTATTTTTATTACTATTACAATTTTAGCCATCTTGTCCTCCCCCCTGTTGTCTATAATTATCATCAACAATTGACCACTTGACGTAACAATCCATTTTTCGCTTCTCTACGTGTTAGTTACTATCATACAATTATACGGCAAATTGTTTGAAGTTTTACAACATCTCCTACTATAACTGATCTACGCTTTAGTTATTGGCTTAATTACCTGCTCTATTATCACCCACTTGATACTTTGAGATTAATAACTTGTTATTATAATGGGTGATGACTGTATGTGAGATGAAAATTTGACCAGTGACTGGATTCAAACCAGCGACAACTGGGTTTCTGGTTCGATGCTCTACTAACTGAGTTATGAGGTCATCGGTTCGAATTCGACTGTGTTTCAAATTCTCACTTCACTTTTAATCATCACACAGTATAAATACTAGTTTTCCAACTCATGGCTACCTCATATAGTTAAAATGATAACTGAACACCAGACTGGCACGTAATTTTGCATTTTGAAAATGTTATACATCAGTGTAGAGCCACCAATGATTATCATCAACTTGAATATCAACATAGGACCAGGCATCACTGCATAACGGTTCCAGTTGCCAAACAACACATCAGTACATTAAGTAGAAAGGCAGTGAAGTAGAAGATGAAGATAAGAAAATTCAGTCAAATGATTGTGTGAAGTTTAAGCACGGATCCTAAGGGATCTCAAAGAAGAAACAGCGTTCATATTCTAGATGCTCGTTGATGCCCTTCGAACAAAACATTCAGTACAAGCGTTCATTTAAGATGTACAACATCATCCATCCATCCAGATTAACCTAGGGTCAGGCATTACTGCGTAACGGTCCGTATTGCCACACCTAATATCAGTATATTAAGTAAAAAGGCAGTGAGGTGCAAGATGAAGATAAGAGAATGCAGTCAAAAGAAATATAAAATACGAAAAGAGAGAAGTGAAGAATGAGAAAGTGATGAGATTGGGTAAAGCGTCGTTAAGATGAGGATAATGTGTGCATACGTCTCCGCCACTGACGTTGGTTCTGGGCCATACCACCTAGAGTCAGTCTCCAACCACTGGTTCCTCTTGTCTTGCCAACCCCAACCACCTAGTCTGCATCGCCCTACATGGCTCCAACCAACAGTCACGGACTTCATACATTGGTACCATGTTGTAGTCTGGCCACCTCGACCCCTTTTCCAGCCTGAACCTATTTCGGCCAACATTGTGTGACTAGGCAGTTGGCGACTAGGCACACATAACACGTGTCCCGACCACCTCGATCGATAAAGGTTCATAACCTCGTCAACTGATTCACCTCTACTCCTGAAAACTCTATACATGACGTCTGCGTTGCCCACAAGGTGACATCAGGGAATACGACTTATAATACGAAGGCAATAGTGGTCAAATACCTGAAGCCTTCTCATGTCTTCCGCCTTCAATGGCCATATTTTACAGTCATACAGTAGAACAGAGGGGACTGCTTTGCAGCACATGCGACCCTTAGTAGACAACTGGATATCACGGCAGCGCCACAGGTGGCGTAAATTGGCGAGAGCCAATCGAGCCTTTTCTATCTGTGGAGAGATTACTTCGGCCACTGAGCTACCAAAGTAGGGCTGATCCTACTTCCCAGGTAAGTGAAGTGGTCGACACACTCAACCACTTCCCTCCCTATTACTAACCGTGTCACCGTTGAAGACCAACTCTGGAGCAGCAATTTTCATTTAGGTGGTGAGAAACGCATCCCGAACATTCCCTAATTGCCACTCAAAGTGTTCAAAAGACTTTGCATGTAGTCAGCGTCTTCACCTAACAAAACCATGTCATCTGCATATTCTGGGTCTTATGAAAATTCTCCTGTGATTAGGTCAACGTCTGTGTAATAAGGTGACGGGTGTGAGACCTTCATCAGAATATCTGTGATAAAATTAGATAAGAATTGAGATAGTGGGCGCCATCGACAGACACCACTCGATGAGCCACTGATGAGGAACTAATTGAAAAGAAATATTTTTTCACTCATATTGATTTTTTTGTTGTCTAAATGTCTAAATGGTAACTTCTGAGAAGAATCCGTAATATAGACAAGGTCTTTTGTATATCAGGGGTAATTGTTAAAATTCAGTCCTAAATTTAGAACAAGAAACCCATAAATATAGGTGAAAGTCGTTTAAGAAACCGTTTATCCTTTGATACCAGATGGTGAAATGAAAGATTATTGTCACAAGACTAACGATATGTATACATGAATTTTCATCCGAGTAAAATCACTGTAGTTTGAGGACTCACTTCATTCATTTTTATTACGACACCATTAGTCCTTAATGAACACATTTCAAGCATGAGAAGAGAATATTTGAACTTTCACACTTCGAAGAATTCATTAAATATAACAGAAATTGTACAGTAAATAA